AAGTGTTAGGATAAAAAAAGAACCGCAACCAACGGTTCGATATGTTCTAAAAACAAATGGACCCAATATTATATTGGATTACTAGATAAAATAATGTCCTAAATCAGGGATGGCGGCCAAAGAAAATATTACAAAAACTTTTAAACAATATTGAAAGTTGGACCAAAGTTGATATTTTCACAAATTATGCATATTCATTACATGGATTAGTGTCATGGCTTCGTGATAAACAATGTGAGGTGCAGGAAAGTTAATTTTGTATATTGATAGTAATATCGCAACTATTTCCATATGACATTTGTAGGTTTTTGGCCTAATAAAAAATATCAAAATCTTGGGAATAGTTTAAGCCCGTTTGGACCTACTCCTTTGAGGCGCCACCTTTCTGGAACTACCATCAGAACACCCCGAACCCTAAAAATGAATTCCAAAGATGTATACAAATATTAAATGTCCGAGAACACAGTTATCGGCCTTCAAAGATAGTCCGTAGTATGGACAGTGTAAAACTTGCAACTTTTTTTACATACACTTTCTAAAATTACTTCTTTATATTTTATGCATTAAGAATAGTATTAAGAAGAGGATAAAAAAACATGTAAAAAATTGGGTGGTGAATTTCTAAGTATAAAAAATCTTTTTGAGATAGAGCAGGTACGATTTGTTTAATTAGTGCTTTGTCTATATGCCTTTTTGTTTTTTTTTCTTGACATATTTGTTTGTTTTTATAGTGATTAAGATTATAACACAATGTTGACTGCTGTACCCATATTTTTGACAAGCGAGAGATTTAGCTAGCTATAAAAGCGGGTTTAACAAAACATTTTCCACATAAGAAAATGCCTGTATAAATTCAGGAATATGACAGTTGTTATCCATTCGTTTGGTGTGTTTGAGCTTTTGATTTTGCCATTTGATAAGGGTCTTTCCGTATTGAATTTTTCTCGGAGTTCGGTATTCTTGTTGTTTTATTTTTGAATGTATTGTCTTAATAAAATGCACTACGAAATAACTGGGTTCTCTGGCCTAATAACTTATAATCTCTATCACAAAAAAGAACATAAATAGCATATAAATTCATCTTAGGTCAACCTTGCTAGAGGGTATTGAAAACGCATGGTTTTAATCATTGTCAAATTTATCAACATTTATAATCTTAGTTGATTGAAGCGGAATTGAATGTTGTTTTTTTTTTTCTTTTCCTGAAGTTACGCCATTGTTTGGTGACGAACCATTCTAGAGTCAAAAACATGCTAAGGTCATTAGGTGGATAAGATCCTGCTCAACTATTGGCACCAATCGATTTTTCTCATGGTCAGTACGAACAAGAGATTAGTGTCATTCTGTGATGTCACAATCGAGGCAAGGGGGACGGTAACGACAATTGTAGCATATATGTTGGGTTTCTGTGTTGTACAGATATTCCTTATCGGTCAACCAATTCGTGATGGTGTCTGTAAAATATTCAAAGTGTATATGTCTGTTAGATTGTTTGTATGTGTTTTGAGCACCTTTATATTTACGGTGTAACTTACTTTTTTATCATTTTACCAACTCATTGATTTGCACGTACCTTAACCGGACTCGCAGGTTTGCAGAATTGGACAAGAATCTCCTACCTGAATAAATAGAGAAAAAAGGAAAAGTAACTTTAGATATCAAATATCGCGTAACTTTCCTAACCTTAGTTAGAAGACGTAATTATTGTTCATGTTGGCTTCACCTTGATCACAGTTTGAAATAGTGCTGAAATGTTTTTAATATAATTTGTGCAGCATTTCTTATCTGCAACAACAAAATTTTAATATTTCATATACAAAAGTAAATTAAAAGCTGATATTTTGTTATAGTAACTTTATAAAAAAAAAACAATATTGAGTCATTACTAGTACAATATTAAAATTAGTATAGTTTGGGTATGAATATCAAGTGTCAAAACTGTATAGCCAAACTATTTACAGATGTATGATTTGCATGTGTCAATATGAATTATTTCGGTTGATTGGAGACTGTTAAATATTTAATGATATTTTTGAGTGATTCGCAAATAATTAGTATTTTAAATGATTCATGCTTAAACGTAACATATTTAAACAGTCTCTATTTTTTAAATTTTTTTTTTAAAATCTAATATCGAATTTCACAATTTGTTAAATTTAAAAACAAGCTTTTTTTCTTTGATGTTTACACCGATTTAACATGTTAAAATTGTCTCTGACCTGTTGAGTATTCCTATCTTCCTAAATACAGTTTGTTGGTTTTGTATTATTTAAACATGTTAAAGGATGCAATTTATCTGCAATTTTACAGTTGATAAATTAAGTATCGAGTCAAAGGCAATTTTGCTTTAAACAACTGTTACTGTCAGTTCTACTTTATATCTAAAACGTTTAACATGTATCGCGATGCAAATTTGTGGTATCGAATGTACCTGATATTTACAATTTAAAAAAAAACTAGAAGTTGCTAGCACGTAATTCATATTATAAATGTCTTTTATAAACATTTTATACACGGTTCGCTTATTCTCATTTCAGCAATATTGGTCAAATGAAGATTTTGTTGAAGATTTGTTTAGTCGTTAAACATGGTAAAAATAGATATGTGAATATCAGTGATTGCTTCTTGTTAAAGGTGTCACGATAATAATATTACCTTCGTCTCATATATGTCTGTGATTCTGATATGATCACTGTGTTTTGACGGACAAGGCATTATTTTAAAGTTTAAGTGTTCAAAATATTAATATAAAATTATTATTATGACATTTCAATCCCACATATAGCGATACATGTTCAAAGTTGCCGATTTGAATGACGTCTGTTGATTTTGAATTAACCATAGTATACGGTATATTCTACATTCTTAGTTGAAAACCGTTCACCAACTAACGTAATGAATATTGACAATTTCGTCTCTGTTCTGTTTCAAAATTTTTCTTACTATCTGATATTAAATGTATATTTTTAACTACATTCGAAACATCGTTTACAATTTTAGTTTGTAACCCGGATTTGTTTTTATCTCTATCGATTTATGAGTTTCGAACAGTGGTATACTACTGTTGCCTTTATTTACAAGATAGGAATCCCGTCTAATTATGATGACTAAAGAGGATTAAAAGGTTTTTCCCGAATCAGTGCAAAACTGAAACATAAGGGGAAATACAGCATCTATCTGGGTTTGATCTATTGTAATGATCGAAGTAGTCCAACTACCGTATCATTAGCCTGACAACACTGAGGTTTTGAGTTCGAATCCCTCACGTGGTAGGTACATTCGGCTCGTATCTTTATTGAGCAGGATAGTACATGTAGTTTTACCATAGTTTGTGTTCAAATTCACCTGTCATCCTTTTGAAAAGACTAACCCTGTTTATGAATGAAATCTCTACGGAGCAATTTGACTAAGCTGTTCAGAACAACAAATTACATCTATGATGGCGATTGTTTAGTTTTATTCAACTAAAGAATATCACCAATACGTGAAACTATTGATTTATGCTATCAAAAATTCGCTGAAGACACGTCTGGATAAGATGATGATAATATATTTCAGTTTAAATTTGCCATCTGCGTCATGTGCAATATTATATAAAGAATAAACAATATCACTCAAGACGTTTTATTTGAACACGACATGCATGTCGCGATGTGACGTTTTGGTTCATCGTTGGTGTCATGCCAGCAACTATCAATTAAAAAACGTGAATTTTGATATTGGTTTTATCTCTAATAAATCCACCCTATATCCTTTTCTATAATACCCAGCTAACAATTAGACTCAGCTATATTTGAGTACATACCAAGTATTACATGTAAACGGCCGGAAAAAGATAACGCTTTTTTTTCACGTGAACTTTGTATAATCGCCACGTTTACTCTATATTACTAGTATACAGCGGTATCCTACTGATGCCTTTATTTATTCTATGTTAACCTCAATATTTTAGTCCAAACAAAAAAGTGAACTCGCGTTTACGTTCAAGTTTACTTCCCTGTTCACGTCATAACGTCATAACGCCGCTTTTTAAAATTCTGTTCCTCTCCACCCATTTACAGTTATTACACCGGCGTGGTATGCATTGTTTTTCTTTAAACCAATGGTAGAATATTTTAGTCACGTAAACTTTAATTTGTGCTGTCAGTAAAAGGTTTGTTTAAGACTTGTCTATGTTATACACAATCATTAATTCGAAAACATTTTTAAAAGAGAATTTCTTTCAACATATATTTGTTCCGCTTTTAGTCCCCAAGAACCTTAGTTATAACAATATCATTAACATAAGCAGTAACACACAGCAATATGATGGTACTTGCAATAAAAAAGTGCGGGTTTAAGGTATACAGTTATACTTTACAAAACTCATGACTGCATTTTTGTCATCCAGTTCAATCAAACGATTATTGTGTAGAAAAAATGCTACTGCTGAGTATTGTGTCATGAATGCTATTTCTTTACAGCCAGCCAATATTCAGTTAAGGATAATGGTGGCTTTGGTGTTATATAGTTTTGACGAACGCCATTTGAGATTCAGAACGTAACATATAATTAGGAATGTGGTTTAACACAACCACTTGTTCTAGTCCATGTTTGTGAGTCTCAATTAAGACGATTTACCACAGGAATCTTATCTTGCATGAGCAAACGAAATGGTTCTACTTCGTTGAACTGCCCATAGTGCAGCTAGTTTTTTAAGTGTTTAAGATTGTATTGATCAATCAGTAATTTTTTGTGTATGGTTGTCTATTCATCTGATAAGTAGTATTTGCCTCCAACAATGAGCAAAACCAATACCGCATTGTAAGCTATAAAAAACCAAGAAAAGACAAATTAGAGACTATATATTCAACCAAGTAAAATGACGGCCTGATAATTTACAAAACAATAAACGAAAAACTAATATAATATACAGCCACAAACGAGAACCGAGAATTACAGGCCCCTGACTTGGGACAGGCATTATCAGAATGAGGCAGGTAAAACATTTTACTAGCGCCAAAAAACATTTTAATCAGGAATTTGTTCGTAAATTGTAAAATTCAAAATCCATTTGTCGAAGGTTAAAAAACGCAGAGATTTTTTCTTTTGTTTCGTAGCGGGTACAGATATATTAAAGATTTTCATACAATGTACAAATACTGTTTTACCCTGCAAATTGATATTTACGCTTAAATGAACATTGTTTTTACTTCAGACCCATTGTATTTGTTATTGAATGAAATCAACATGACTCAAACTCGGACTGCAAAAACATCTGTGACGTAACGTTGAGTGATATCTATACACCTAGGTTTGTATAGTAGAAAGGTTATAGCCGGATAACATTTATTTCATCTGCATGAAGCTACTAGGAATACAACCCACATAGGATAAAAGCCTTATATATTTTCAATGTTTAAGTCATTAAATGATCTAGTAGTACAGTTTGAATTCTACATTGTTTGCAAAAGCTTCCTGTACGGCATCGGCTTCATTGCCTTTTTCAATCTTGTTTAGTGCTTTAACTAAATTAAAAACTAAGGTTTCATTAGGCCTTGAAGGTCGCCATATTTCAAACATCGCAGTTTTAAATTCCAATTTTGTCTCTATGCTCGATAGTTTTTTCTCTGAAATATTTAATTGTACTCCAAGTTTGTAGCATTCATCTTCACTGAGTTGTTTTCCGAGTCTAAATAATGATGATTTTCTAAGAACAGGAATTGTACCTAAAAGATAAAAAAAATGTTCAATGGATAAAAAATCTACGCCAAGCTGACATGTACATTGAAAATCATACAACATTTGGATTCTGCTGCTTGCAGTATTTAACCTGCGATGGAAATATGTTACTTTAAACTGTGTATCAAAAAATACTTTTATAAACCAAAGCAAGACTTGTTTTTATTTGACATTAACTTTCAAAAGTGCATTTGAAAATCAAACATGTTCAACTATCACTTAAAACATTTATTACATCGTTTATTCAACAAAAAAAAAAAGAATTGTGAACGTGTTTTTGTTCAAAATAGAATGAATAAAGTATCCCCTATAGGACAAATATCAATACAAGCTTTAAAACTGTTTATGTATCGGTATAAATCAGTCCAACATACATTTTTAAGGTTTACTATACACAAAAGTTTTGCATAGTTTAACAACAGGTTTTTTCAAATGATAGCTTTTAAAGTAAGCGTCAGTCCCTTTCTTTAAAAGGTCTTAAAATAAAACTGAACAGATATTTGTTGAAGATGTTCTTCATATGATTGCAGTTCTATTTCGTCATTCTATGAATTTAAAAATAAGATTTGATACTTTTGTATCTTTTGTTTTACCGTTTGTACTTATACATTGTTCTATCTGCTAAAAATGGTTTGTCAAATATAAGATTCCTTCATATTGTATTGTTTTCTTCGGCGGAATTCCAGACATCAACTAAACTGGTATTCATTAACCATGACAATCTTTTAATGTCGATTATACCTTTGCGTTAACTTTTAGTCAACGAAAATATCCATTATTGTACCTGTAGGTCAAACTACTCTAACATATAACGTGTCACCTTTTAAATTCGGATTCTTTTCCGATAAAATACACTAAAGATAAACTTACACTGTGCATCATCTTTATCCACACCAACATCTTGATTGTCATCTAAAATATACCACATGCTCTAATTGTATAAATTATATAAAACAATCTTTGTTTATCATCAATACGTTCATACTACTTTAAAAAGTTTAAATATATTTTACCATTGCTTATGTCATTTACAGTATGGACAAACTATATTTTGCTTACATAATCACCAATACCAAATACCATTCCCTTATAAACTACCTTATTGAATATTTGTATATCGTTAGTTTGAAGTAAAGCCTGGTACAAAGTAACCACTTCATACTTATGAATTGAAAAAATCTGAGGATTATGATTACAGTTCTATCACTCTTTCTTTTTGAAGTAGCACAACTATTCAATTTATTGCGTCAGTTGTTAAATGCAATGCGAATATATTGTTTGTCTATTCTTTTTTTCAATCATTTGCAAATATGATTAAAAGAGATTGCATTCTCTACGAGTCAATTAAACCAACCATCCAAACGTTTCAAAGTTGTTATTAAACTATTCATCTGCTACAAATAGTTTGTCAAATATAAGATTCCTTCATATTGTACTGTTTTCTTCGGCGGAATTCCAGACATCAATTAAACTGGTATTCATTAACCATGACAATCTTTTAATGTCAATTATACCTTTGCGTTTACGTTGAGTCAACGAAGATATTCATTATGTTACCTGTAGGTCAAACTACTCTAACACATAACGTGTCACCTTTTAAACTCGGATTCTTTTCCAATAAAATACACTAGAGATAAACTTACACTGTGCATCATCTATATCCAAACCAACATCTTGATTGTCATCTAAAATATACCACATGCTCTAATTGTATAAATTATATAAAACAATTTTTGTTTATCATCAATACGTTCATACTACTTTAAAAAGTTTAAATATATCTAACCATTGCTTTTGTCATTTACAGTATGGACAAACTATCTTTTGCTTACATAATCACCAATACCAAATACCATTCCCTTATAAACTACCTTATTGAATATTTGTATATCGTTAGTTTGAAGTAAAGTCTTGTATAAAGTAACCATTCCATACTTATGATTTGAACACACTGAGGATTATGATAACAGTTCTGTTACTCTTTCGTTTTGAAGTAGCACAACTATTCAGTGTATTGGGTCAATTGTTAAATGCAATGCGAATATATTGTTTGTCTATTTTTTTCTTCAATCATTTGAAAAAATATGATTAAAAGGGATTGCATTCTTTATGCGTCAATTAAACCAACCATCCAAACGTTTCAAAGTTGTTATTAAACTATTTCATGTGTATTGGATATTTAACATATAAGTGAACAGAAATGATTAGAGTATTATGATGACGTAACGTTCATCATTCACCTTTCTCTGTATAAAATTGAGAGTGGAAATGAGGAATGTGTCAAAGAGACAACAACCCAACCAAAGCAGAAAACAGCCGAACGCCACAAATGGGCCTTCAACACAGCGAGAAAAATCCCTCACCCAAAGGGGGGCTTCAGCTGGCCCCTCAACAAAAATGTGTACTAGTTCAGTGAAAATGGAAGCCACATTAAACTCCAAAACAAATAAGTGAACTAAAATTAAAAACAAAAACCATTCAAGATTTTCAAACGCCAGAGGCTCCTGACTTGGGACAGTCGCCAACATTCGGCGGGATTAAACATGTTTTGTGAGATCTCAACCCTCTAATGTTTCAGTTTTTGTAGACTTAAAACACACATACACACATAAATAAATACAAATAAAATACTACCGAACAGTTGTCCATCGATTGGTAATCTGACAAGTTCCTCGATACCATTTTCGATGGCCACTTTTCTAGATGTTGCCACTTTCACAACGTTGTTACATAAATGTAAACTATTACATAATCTATGTTTGTTTTCTAATGTTTCTACAACTGATTGTTCAACGATTTTTTTCTTAGTCCTGAATATTATGACGTCACCTATCGGTGGTTCATGCTGGTCAGATACAATGTAAAATGTACGATAGTTCCTTTTCTTGTAATGGTTGAATACGATGTGTTCTTTGGAACTACTTATAGTGTCTATCTGAAAATTGCCTTCTAAGGAAATCTAAGAGGAAAAAATAGACAGTTAAAGATCATGAAATAAAATAAAACGGTCCGAAAAAATACCATATATATACACGTTTTTCATTATCATTTGATTAATTCATGTTTATGATAAATTTCTAAGAAATTTCGCTACATTTAAGTTTAAGTTTTTCTTAATTTTACATAACTTCTTTGTCTACTTTTTCAGGTATACGTGTTTGCATAGTGTGTACATAAACAAAATTATTTCTGAACACCTAACAAAAACACATTTTATTTTAATGTCTTGCATTTCATAATTTTCCTATTTTACATGTTACAAAAATCATGTTCACCCATGTATGAAAGATAAGTGAAGTCTTGATGTTCTACTTTTGTAAGTAAAGCGTGAAGATTGCATTTTTTCAGGCTAAAACCACTTATTGGTTTACTAATTTTACAGTTGTTTGTTAAAGCTATATTCCAAAGAATAGAGATGGTTGAGTACTAACAATCATTTTTAAAAACGTAACATTATGTATGGCCCGCAACATAGTAAAGAACCTTTATTCCAGTATGCATGGTACATATCTGTAAGTCATGATGGATTTACCTTTGCTTCTATAATCTTAATTTGAAGCAACAGTAGTTTACAGATGGTAAATTCGTATAAGCCATTAAGAAGATGTAATCAAGGTAAACACACAAAACATAGAGAAATGCACGCACTTTAATGGGAGCAATACTGGATGCAACGACAGGGTAAGAGTCTTAAAGTATGCATGCGTCTGTCGCAAATGCGAATAAACGCTCAGTAAAGATGTCGAATTCAGGAAAAGGACACAATCAATAAATGTACAGATCAGACGATTATTCTTGTATCGCAAAGCAGGCCCTTGTTTCGTTAATAGTATTGGTTTACATAATACTCGGGAAGGGAAGATAAATAAAAATAATGTTATAGATTGAAAGGTATATGTTTCCCAACATACATCGTGTTATTAACTATCTATATACGATATCGTCAATTCATAGAGTATGTAAATGTAACTTAGAAGTACGTTACACTGAATCAGGCAGTTCCATAGCACCTCAAGAAGGTAATTCCAGTTTGTATTCTTGAAACAAAAAAAATATTGAAAACTTTGAAAAAAAGTTTCTTGAAACATCCGAATTGAACATAAAATTGAAAATGGAACGGGGAATGTAAGGACTATTATATAAAAAGATTGACATTAAAAGCATAACACTATTTTTTTGTGTGATCATCGAATAAAATTTCAATAATGTACTCAATAGAACAAACATACTTTTAGCTTTTCACCATCTTGAACTATACCGTCTCTGTATTCTATTGTCTGTAGTCGAAAGCCATTATGTCTCCAATATTTCCTTCTCCTCTTCCCATAATGTTTCAATGCGATTTCGACTATCAAGGTCAATTTATTATCTGTCTCTTTCTTAAAACCTGCAAATATCTCTGTTGGTCTGTAATAATTAACAGCTAATGTTGCGGATTCTGCACTTTTCTTGAAATTTTTCTTTGATCCAACAGCAAAGCTATTTCCAATTTAAAATTATTCAATATTAAAAAGAAAAGTTATCATCGTTGGTACATTATCTATTGCATGAACAATTATGTTGTAAATTAAGATTACAGAATATATCCATTTATTAGTAAAGCCAAAAATACAGCAACGCAACAAAGATACTAACTGAACGATAACTGGATAAAAGGTTTGAATGCCGAATTAACGCGTCCAACGTAGCTACTTACCTGAAAACAACCTTTAATAGCTGACAATGCGGTACGGGACTTCTTCATTGTTGACCTATAGTTGTTAATTTCGGTGCCATTTGGTCTCTTGTGAAGAGTTGTCTTGTTGACAATCATACCACATCTTCTTTTTTATACTAACAATGATATGCCAAAAAGAAAAAACGTAAAACGTCGGATAGACACAAGACTGTCACTTAAATAAAAACATCGCATCTTTAAAAAAAAACCCAAAAAAACACACACACACACAAAGAACAACACTGACAACTAATCGAAAGTACAACGACCCCTTTTAGAATAAAATTTAGGGTGAATTCAGTTGCTCAAGAGGGTATGCGGATGCTGATCCACATGCCGACCAGTCTTGTTGCACATGTAAATACACAACGGTGATAAAATGATTAGGTAGGTCACACCATCAAAAAGATGATGGGATTTTGGTTACGACAAAAAGAACATATCCGTCTTCATCCGTGAAACAGATATTCCATAACGGTTAACCAACTCGTGATGGCTCCATAAAATTTCGAAAGGATAGTTTCAATTTCCCCACTTGAAACTCTTGGTTCAATACATTCCTTGTAAGCAGCAAACCTATATAGAGGAAATAGTACAGGATTTGCAAGTCCTGAAATGCCGTATAAACTGGACGATATATATTAATTTCATAATGTGGAGGCTGAAATCACCTCTTTTGTCGTAAAATGATGTTCGCAACACACCCTCTTTGCCAACTTCTAGATGTAAATCATAATATATGGCAGACTAAAATGTATCCTATATTTCAAGTTCGATGGGATAGATGCCTTCAACATAATCACAATACTCTGAATTATCTAGTGAGATGGCAAAATTTATATAGTGGAACGTAAAGTTTAAGGATAATGCAAGCTTCTTTCATTCTTCGAATATCATGTCTAAGTGCAGCCTCATATGAATAAAAACAAGTCACCAAGAAGAGGAGATCAGTTAATTCAAATGGGTATGCAGATAGCTTTCCGAAAAACACGTCCTCCACAAGTAACACATATGTTGCCAAACAAAAAAACAAGTATCGTCATAATGTTAACTTTAGATAATTATTTACAAAGTACAATTTATCTATCCCTAAGACAACATCTACGTTGACTATTCTTTAAAATAGTCTTCAGGTGTATGATATTTTGATTTAAATGATGTTTCAGACATGTTTATATTATCTTGTTTTTTTACATGCACAAACGTGCAATTCATCCAAATATTAAAAAACAAAAAACATAAAACCTACTGTGTAAAATGTTCTGCAGAGAAAGAAACTATATTCCCTTCAATTTTTATATTTGTTGAACATATTTCCCAATCTTTCTCTGCTTCTGGAATATCTGTATGTGAGGCTATTATTATGAAATCATCGGCTGACACAACTAATGAATGCAGAGGAAGTTTCATATTTACAGGTTTGCTTGGCTGAACATTATTCTGCATTGTTAAATCTAGGGCATTGGTGAATAAGACCGTTTCCTCACCATTCCAGTCATTCGTATCAGCTACCTTAAAAGAAAATTGAAGCATTGTCAGCTTTTAATAAATAGGATATCTTCGAAAAACTTATAACAAATTTAATAAATTTGATCTGCTGAAAAACACCCCAAAAAATGCACATTCAAACATCATGTTCCTGCAATAACAGTTTTAGCTATTTTCGAAGTTGAACAACCTAACAGTACTTTTACATGTTATAGAAACAAATAAAAAAGAAACAATTTGTAATATGAAAGTATAAAAAATTAAACAAAAATTTGTTAACAATTTAGAATAATGCCAATAATCAAATACTATAATAGAAATATGTTTTGTTTTCTATTTTCATAGATATCCTACATTAAGCATTAATTTTCCCGGTGATTTAAATGCTCCCTCAGGTATGTCTATTTCTGCATTACTTTCTGATTGCGGAACAATTTTGAGTGCGTCTTGTGTAACTGCAAACTCTTCATGTCGACGCTGTGATAATACAACGAATTTGGCCGTCTTCATTCTTGTTAGGTCAATTTTTATATCAAATTTCGTATACTGAAAAATAGAATTGATTTGCATATAAAGCCATGATTTAATGAAGATTTAATTAAAATAAATAAATACATCTGTGGGATGTAAATCGATTGCATTTTAACCAAACGATTTATGATACATTGATTTGAGACCTACATCAGGTCTTTAATATAGTAAAAAATGTTTTAGTCCATTTGTCAATATTATAATACACTTGATTGCTGACAAATTGTAAAACAATAATACCGATACTATATCTTTATGCTTCTTGCAACTTGCTCAGTCAACGAGAAAAGGAGAAAAGAATACTACATAAACAGAAAAGTCAGAACGAAAAGGAGACAATACGAAAACCCAAAATAAGTGATCAGTAACGGCAGCTTTCAATGACCTAAAAGAGTAAGATTGCTCAGACAAAACAAAGCTTTAAAGGACATTCCCTAATGCGTTTGTCCGACAATTGACGAAAACATATATAAACATTAAGTTTCTAGTATAATACAAAGAAATCATGAGCTATACATGCTATATAAGATCTTAAATGTCATTTCATGTATGTCTTTCACAATCAAGCTCATTCTCTTAAGGTTATGTCTGCTCAAACATGTACAAATTAAGATGTTCGATAACTTTGTCATGGTATTATATGAAATAAGGATATATCAATGATGGTTGTAATATATTGATTTTGCATTGATTAATAAGGTACAGTGCCAAATTAAGTTTTATACGTCTCATAAGTCAATTTAAATTGTCATTAATTTTATCCAGAAAACATGAACATTGTTGCATCGTTTCGAACAATGTGCAGCACTAACTTAACCTTAAACCCGCACAAATTATTATAACACAAGATGTCTATACATCGTTGGCGATTTTAATTTAGAAGGGGCACGTGAGAGCACATTTAAAATAGCGAAAAACCATGAAAAAACATCCTATCGAACCTTGTTTAAAATGCTACACGTCTCAAATAACTTTTATTTTGATAGAAGTACACAAATATAATCCTAATGACCAAAGAAAGGGTAAACACATAAGATTTGCATTGTACAACTGGTCATCAAACAAACTAACCTCTTCTTCGTAATCTCCCTCTGTAAATGCCTGGCCTGTAATATTGCCTTCTACAGAACCTTCTAAGGGCATAACTACCACTAGCTGATTTTCTTGAACAAATCCTAGCACAGAAATATGTAAATCTAGATATCTTGGAGTATCACCCCATGTTTTGATTTCATAAACATCGCTGAAAATTTGGTCTTCGAAACCCAGATGCATAGCGAAATCATTGTATTCTGGAATAACTTTCGAACAATATAAGAAAAAGCCATTACTTATATTGTCCGTATTCAGTATGATGTCTGTACATATTGAAATATCTTCAGCAGGATTCACGTAGCAGACTTCAAAAGCATTGTTGCTACAAGAAAAAAAAAATAATTGCAAAACGACACCTATATAAACATATTTTTCATATTATTGAAGTGTTACCATATTGCTATAATATTATAAATCGTGAAATGTTTATACTGAACAGATCGCATGATGTGCAGAGCAAAGCAAAGGTACAGTTCTAGTAATGAAATAAAACCTCAGCAAAACTCAAGAAAATGCACATACAATGTTGATATAATTGTATGTTTATTTGGTAAAAATATAGACACAAAAAAAAGAAGTATTCGTTATATCAGTTGGCAGGCTTATCACAATTAACTTACAGAACACTAGACCCGCTTAATGTTTCATGTATTTTTTTTAAAAACAATTAAAATTGATAATCCATATTCGAAATTAAGATAATACAGTCTGTCTGTATACAGAAGTTAAGTTTGTTTTATTCTTTAAAATCGTATTGGTGTTGTTTATATAAAAGTTTAGACTTGATGATTTGAATTTTCAATTAAAAAAAAAATATATAAGTACTATAGGCAGTATTGCCTCTTCCTTAGAAACTTTAATAATCCTTCAAAAGTTGCTTATTTAAAATACCCGTAATTATTCTCTGCTTCTCGTTCTAGTTGATTTATCAATGTTCTCATAATTTTCTGGTCTGCTTTGTTAAGAATATCGACATCAACACCTACGAGTGCCCAATCATCAATTGTAACTGATGATCCAAAACTGCAAAGTAACTCAATAACCGCAGCGTCTTTCTTGGCAACCGCTATATCCAAAGGACTTTGTCCTTTCTGAAAAAATATAGCTAAACTTGAGGAAACATAAATAATTTCGGCTGCAGTGTACACAATCAGTTTGTAACTGAAACAGTGCATATATATGACATAAATAAATGCCTAACGAAACTGATCTAATTATACAATGATTTGATACCAAATGATATCTCGCAAATCCTGTAACCATTTCAATCTTTGGTTCGCATTAGCAAGAACGTATATACATTTAAAAGGAAAAACAAATGACATTAAAAAAAAACAACAAAAGAACAGTTCAACACGGATTCATTAATATCAAAACGGTAATGTACTATACAGATAACTTTTAACAAATTCGACTCGCTTATATTTCGACATCAAATTAAAAATAAATAGCCTTTATCTGTGTATTAATGTTATAGTCAGGTCTAGTCTTGCTTTAAGTATGTTATGGAACATTAGGCAGCCCGTTCATACTTTGTTATGTCAAATCAAGATATTATAATGTGGATGTATGAAAAGCAAATAAAAGTATAACGAAGCAATCATGGAATATTTCATAAATATTACGATACATATTTTTTTTTTAACCGTTACCAGAATGAAACAATTGCCTTTTCGTACTTTCAATGCTTTTCACAGTTTGTAAGCAAACGTCTAATTATAACGATAACTAGAATATAATGTAGATTAACCCTTCAAAATAACACATTAGTTAAGATGCTTTGCTTGTGTAAAAGCTTATGGTCGGCCTGGCTGTTGAGGCAGTTTTGTTTGTCAATATACTCTCTAGAAGATGAGAAATTTATAAACTATGCAATCAGTCTTAGTTACTACCCGATACAATTCAATGCAATACTTGTTATTAACCATTTAAATTTTCAGTATGTTATTGGTGAAATTTTCTCTTCGGTTGCTTGCATTTATCAAAATTGCACTATTATTCGAGATCACAAAATGCAGTTTTGAAGGAAAAGTAAGGAAATCATTTATTGAATAGAAAACATGAAAAACACAATCACTATTCAAAACAATTACAATGTCACAATGATTTTTTCTTTTCATCTTCATAATTTACCGTTTTATTAAAAGGAAAATCTAAATTACTTTAAAAAAGACAGCCTTATTTCAAATGTTAAAATAAACATATCATTTAAATATTGTGTAATAATGTGTTAAGTTCAGAGAACACCAACAAATCAATTGGAACCATAACTTCAAAATAATTATTGAATCCATTGAGGACTACGCCAGAGCATGGGCTAAACGAGAAGAAGTTGAACTGGACACTTTGTCAGAATGGGTAAAAAAAATCAGGTCTCTGATAAAACGTCGCATTCATAAGGTGAAAAACTGTGTGAATGATCGATCAAAGTCCGTTTTCAGAGGCAAAGAGACTGTGAAATGTCTATCATTTCTTCACGATAAGTATGTTGTTGTTCCTGCGGACAAAGCTTCAAATAATATTATTGTCTTTGTATGTAAAAGAATTAGGAATAAATGAGCACTCAGGTAATCCCACATACAAAAACATGTCATTTGACAAGGATGAGATTTTAGCGAATCATAAGTCCTTTATGGCTTTAATGAACATTACATTGAACAGCAAATCGGATTTACCTTGTTTGTATTGGATACCCAAGCTTCATAAAATTCCGTACAAACAACGGTACATTGCCGGCTAATCTACATGTTCGACTAAATAATTGTTCATTAGATTGACAAAAATTCTGTCCGCAGTGAAAAAGGGTCTTCAGAAATACTGTGAAACTGTTTACTCGCGTAGTGGTATTAACCATATGTGGATTCTTCAAAACACTAAAGAACTTCTGGATAATTTTAAATCTCGATCTTTATATGAAATAAGTTCTATCAAAACTTTTGATTTTTAAACCCTGTATATCACCATTCCCCATGTGAAATTGAAAAATCATCTAAAGTATCCACAATGCTTTTCACCATAAAAATGGTAGCATACGCTATACATTTATTACTTTGGGATACCATACGGCGTATTTTGTTAATAGTGAACAAAAAGGTAAAACATGCTACACAGAAGAACAAGTGATCAGTATGATGGAGTTTCTTTTTGAAAACATATTTTTTGAATTTGGACTTTTTCAACAAATTGTCGGCATTTCTATTGGAACGAACTGTGCGCCTCTCCTTGCCCACATCTACCTATTTTCATATGAGTCGGAGTTCCTTCAGACACTTGTCAAAAAACAAGAAGATCAAAGAAGCTTCTTTCCATTAACAATCCAAACTTTTCTGATTGGATTCCATTAATATATCCCCCAGAACTAGAATTAAAGAAACAACAGACACGGCTTCCTCCGCCTCATTTTTAGACTTATACCTCGAATTTGACATACGCGGTCATCTCAGTACCAGAGTCTATGACAAACGTGACGATTTTAATTTTGAAATTATCAATTTCCCCCACCTTAGTAGCAATATACCAACTTCACCTGCATATGAGATATATATTTCCCTACTTATTCGGTATTCAAGAGATTGCAGCTGCTACTCAGACCTTGTAAAACGTCACCAGTGTCTGAGTAGAAAGTTGATGAACAAAGGGTATGTCAAAGAACGTCTCGTCCTTTTTCTAAAAAAGTTCATCAAAAGGTACCAAGACTTTGTTGATAAATATTCCGTATCAACTTCACATATAATACACGATGGTCTTGAAGTATAGATTCTGGGTACTGACGTTGTTTATCATCTTAATAACGTGTTACAGTATTCTTTTATTTGTCTTTAAGAATGTTACTTTTACTGTTAGTTTGTTTTTGGTGATATCCATTTGACGTGGCTCTGTACTTATACATCCCGTTATTGTGTTATGGTAAACCATTTTTGTATCCTTGTCTTTCATTTTTGCTAATATGCTTTGTCTATATGCCTTTTTGTGTTTCTTTGTTACATATGACGTGGCTCTGTACTTATACATCCCGTCATTGTGTTATTGTGCTATGGTAATTTTTTGGTATTCTTGTCTTTCATTTTTGCTAATGTGCTTTGTCTATATTCCTTTTAGCGTTTCTTTATTACGTATTTGTTTGTTTTTATAGTGACTAAGATTATAACATAATGTTGACTGCTGTACCCCTATTTTTGACATTTTTTACCTATTACGTCTGTTTGTTTTGTTCACACATCGTTGTCAATATAAAGGAATTTTATGCGACTGTCATACAAGTGAAATGTTAAGCTAGCTATAAAACCAGGTTTAGTCCACCATTTTCTACATAAGAAAATGCCTGTACCAAGTCAGGAATATGACAGTTGTTATCCATTCGTTTGATGTGTTTGAGCTTTTGATTTTGCCAATTGATTACGGACTTTCCGTTTTGGATTTTCCTAGGAGTTTGGTATTTTTGTTATTTTACTTTTTACCAATCTATCTTAAAGGTTAATATTAACAAATTGAGTAATGTTTAAACATTAAACGAGCTGCTGAAAGGCTGCTTTAGAACATCAGATTCTGACATGTGTCATGTGATGATGACATAATGGCATGATAAAATATTGTTAATATTAATACACATTGTCATGTTTCTTTTACACTATGTTTAGGTTTGCCAAATTTTTTACGTGCAACCTAGATAAAACTCTTCGGTTGTGGTAACTATATCTTTCGTTATATCTTATTGTAGTCCGTTATAATTTGAAGTGTAAAACTAACATAGAGACACACGATTAAGTCGTACTTACGTTGTTTTTAACATTTATTGTTGATCTAAAGGCTACAAGTGCCACCATTGATTCAACGTTTGAATTTTTCACAGCCTTAAATAACGCAGTTTCACCATCCTATACAAATTAAAATAAATAAACGCAATACAAAAAACAAAAGGAAAGATAGTTCATTTTTGTTTACTCGACACCTATTTCAATGTCCTTTTATCTGAAATAAGGAATATGATAATTTCTTCATTTTGTAAGAATAATGTCTCTTCGGGGGTTCTTTGGCAAGTTAGTTTATACTCAATCCAAAAACACCAATTATGGTTTCTTCATATTTTTATGTGAAATTTGGAAGAAATGTGATATCTCCGGTTTACAAAAATATTCTTCATTCTTTTGTCATGGGATGGCTCTGTCTATGCGCTTTCCGAAAATGTTTGGTTGCTAGGCACTTTTTGTATAGAATTTTCCTCGAAGTTCGGTATTTTTGTTATTTTACTTAGTAAGATAATGAACAAAAAACTTCTTATTGTTTGACCAAGGTAACTTTTGGATGATGTTTGTTAAGGTGAACATTTCGCAAAAAAAAAAAAAAAAAAAAACTTTATGGAAAGATGTCACTAGTGAGTAAAGACATAAACACATCATATTTGTCAACTTAATCGTGATGGTTTTGTGGTTTAAAACTCTTAGATACCTATATTTTTCTCTCTAGATTGACTTGTACTGTTCACCTACAGTTTTTTTGTTCTTCAGATTTAATCTTGATCGGATTTCCATCTTTTTGTTCTGCCAAATTTTCATTTACCTTATCTCTTTGTTCAATGTCGATTCCATGCTGTGCTGCTGCGACGATAAATTCTAACAATCCTCCAGAACTAGCATAATGTAGACATGTACATCCATTCTAATAACAAGATAAGAGCAGATATTAACAAGATTACATTTGATTCAAAAAATGTCTACTGTCTCAATTTTAAAGAATTACAATGATATTTAACTTATCTAAATATTTTACTATTGAATCCAAGTAACATTTATATTAATAAAATTGGTGGCATTTCGGACTTTTGTGAAATTGAAAACGAACTCTTTAAATAAAACATTTTGTGTAGCCCTTGAAGTTTGATACCTCATCCACATAGTCTAAGTTAGATCCTGCTTTGATCAGGTCTATTGCCTCCTTGCTCTTTTTTTTCTTCACTAGTGATATCAGTTCCATTCTCAAATTAGGGCATACACGTTATCTGTAATAAAATCCAAAGGTAAAAAATTGAATATACGTTCATTCTTTTTTAAGACAGTAAAGCATTAACTTCACTTAGAAAAGGGCAAAAAATTTAAAATTTAACATTTTCAATACATCTATTAGTGACTATATAGTAACACCAAATCTTAACAAAAGTCTCAACCTCTAACACATCTTATAATTATTCAGTATTTACAGGGACGAATCTCCAAATATAGGCACCTTTACAAACGTAAAACGATTATTTGTCATGATATGAATGTGTTCATCGCATTCAACGTATATTGGATTGGTTAAAAATGTCAATATAAGCTTATATGTACATACCTCTAGCGAAAAAGCCTCAATTTAATATATCGCTTAAATAATCATCAACCGTTGTGTTAAAGGACTTACCAGCTAAAAAAAAGTAATACCATAGGAATAACAGTGGGATTTTACATGTTTAACCAACTGTTAACCACGAAAACTTACAACAGATTACTCGAGTGTTTTTTCTAGCCCCTTCTTATCTTTTGATTTAGTTATTTCTACACACACCCTTTAGACAAGATAGGGAATGTTTTCAAGTTTTCGTTTTTCACAACATGTTCAAAACTTGAAATAAATTGATAATTGCCAAATTACTAAGAAAATTAAGAAATGGGAAGAAACACATTTTCTTTCTTTTGACATTACCCTGAGGAGAAGCGTCGAAAACAATCCTATTCAACCTGTGAATGAGTTGAACGTTGTTTGCGTGCCGAAAACAATTTGCCCAGCACCTGTCAGTGGTGGAACGTTTCAAAACCAAAAAATAAATCTTATCTATATATATATATATATATATATAAATAACATGTCGAATTTTGATTATCCGCCTATCATAACCCTTCTTTTTGATTATAGGTTAATTTTTTTTCGTCCAAAGCAAACATGCAAAATTTGTCATTGCAAGTTAATCAACCAATAAATGATAGTATGGACACTTGTATATTCGGGAAATTCGATGAATAACTTGACCTTAAAATGTCTTTGGCTTGTTGCTAGATTGTTATCTCATTGGCATTTACCCAAACCTCGCGTTCAGTCTTATTTATTAATGAAATGTATTTGTGTGTGCATGAATCATGGTTACACACATCATTTATAACCTCCATTAAACTCCCTCCAGTAAAAAAATTTTGAAAGAAATGTACAACTTTGTCTAAGAAAATCGATAGTTTAAAAATCGATCTTTTTTTATTTGTTTGAAAGAAGTAACACAATTGCTTATATATGTTTATATTATACTTAACATGGAATCCAAAAGTATTATTTTACAGTACGGTACAAATGTAACAAATGCTACTTCATCTCTTTTAAGATGTTTAATAAGTACAAAAATGTTAAGTTATATGTGATGCATGCACTGACTGTAATACATATGTTTGTCATACTCAAATCCCGTTTCTATCAACGTTAATTACATCAATTTTATCAATTGTTATGATTTGACAAATGTTACTGAGTCTTATCATTCAAAAACAAATGCTTTCAATGCGACTGTAAACCAAACAAAGGTTTCAAGGGATTGAACATCAAATGCATGTACTACATATATATGTGCATTATTTTATTGATTTTTAAATGATAATTATTACATGCGTTAGGCGGAAAAGTTAAAAGTTGAAAAATCACGCATCTAATGGGAAAATGCACGTTTCCTGTCCTATTGCAGTTTAAAACTAAAAACTACAAATATAAGTTTTGAATATACATTCTTGTACATAAAAACACAAGGACGGATTTCACATGTTATACAAAACATTACGTAAGAAGTCGAAGAAGGGAGGCGAAAGTTAACAGAGGGACATTCAAACTCATAAGTCGAAATTAAACTGACAACGCCATGGCCAAACAAGAAAAAAAGACCAACAGACAAACAGTGGTACACAAAACACAACATGAAACTGCTCTGCACCAAGGACTTTGCAGCTATAAAAATGATAAGTGTTATTGTAAACTAGGATGCAACAACTATTCCTGAATGATTAACAATAGTGGTGGTATTTGTAAAAAAAAGGGGGAGGTATGTTCAATAATCTAAAAGACATTTATTCAGAATATTTGTTATCTCTTATTTGTCGGACTTAAAAATTTTCTTAACAAGAATCAGGATAACATATGCATGCTATTGTAACTTTACCCTTATTAAAATGTGCCAGTTCACTTAAACAAAATGAAAATAGTTGGTTATTTGATTATGTAACATATATATTTGAATGTAACAGAGAACGAAACGGCACTAGGTCACTTAATCGTCTTAAAATGTACATGTAACACGAACACCGAACATACTAGGTCAGGGGACATTTTCCAATACGCGGCAAATCAAAAATGGTTTAGACATCCCTATATCATGTATATGTTAGTGACCTTTTTGTCTGGTTAGAAAAGTGTTTTTACAAGTTTTCCATGATGAACATTTGCTCACGTTATGAACGAAACAATTGATTGGGTAAGCGAAAGGTCGCCAGAGGTTTAAATATCAAATTGTTTGTTTATGTCACGATAGTGTAACAATAGTCAGAGTATCAAACTCCGGAAGATTGGACAAATGTTTTCGGAAGAGTAGCGTTTACAATGTCTATCGGACAATCAAACGTTAACTACATTTTCCGTTGTAATGCATACTGTGAAAAATGATATACCTTTTTACTATTCATCCATGTTTCTGAAATTTTTAGTATATTTGAGTTGTTAGCATGTCGTATAGTATTCGGAAAGTAAAAACACTTAATATACAATTCAAGAGGGCCGAAAGATACCAGAGGGACATTCAAAGTCATAAATCGAAAATAAACTGACAACGCCATGGCTAAAAAAGACAAAAAACAAACAGACAAACAAAAGTACACAAAACAAATTATAGAAATCTTTGGATATCAAACTTTGGATATCGATATGATACTATATAATAACAGGAATGAGAATATGAAAATGAGTATCTATGATGTACATTGAAAATGCATAGGTAGAACACATTCACAGCCAATTACAGATTCTGTGTCATTTTAATTTCTGCAAGTGTTGTTGAAATATATCATTGGTTTATTGAATCTTGAAACGTAAAGTCACGCATGACATCGTGATTCATAACAAAAAAAAACTGAATCTGAGGACAAAGGTATTCATCATTTCAAACAAAATGAACGTAATTGTAGAAAAATTAATAACATCTAACTGAAAAGGAAGCATTTTCAAAGTACAAACTTGTAATGAAAATATGTGAATATGTAAAAGACAGAAACTAGTGAAAAAAGTACTGTTTTGCCGGTGAATGTAAACATTATAAATTAATATTTTTATAATGTTTAAGAGTTCAATTTGAAATCATTTTGAATTTAAATGTACATCTAACTCACCCTTTTAAACACACGTAGATATTTAATGTTGTATTCACCTACTATACAAGTCATAATTTGTAGCCTTCAAGTTCTTTTAAATTTGACAAATAGTTATAGAAAGTTGTTGTTAAGGAAGTTGAAAGACCTCAATGATCATAAAAAAGCATGTATACATAGAAAAGCAATAATGAAGGAAAAGTCAATATTGATTATACGATTAAGTGGAGAGATAAAACACGATCGTAATTATAAAATTTAAAAAACGCACTAAGGGAAACAATGTTATTTCTCAAAGTTTATTTGTCAACTTAGATATTTTAACGGATTGACTCATTTTTTTTTTGAAGGAAACAAATGAAGAGAGCATATATTTACCATATATACATATATGATTTTACCTTGAATTATTAACATACTAAAAAACAACAAGAAAAATATAAAAAATATACGTTTAAATGCACATTCTAACATCCACAAACTGTACCTATAAAAAAAGGGATTCATCTCAGGAATATGTTTTCCTTCCAGTTAAGTAATAGTAAGTATTCTCATAAAGTTTTATTTAGAATTCCTACTGAAAAATGTACTCATAATTTAAACTCGAGATAGAGGAAATCTTGTTTTCCTAAACATAGTTTTGCGGTACTTGTTTATAAACCTGACATATACTATACATTCTCTATTTAAAAGGCTAGCACCATAATCATGATAATGACTATTGAGTATAAGAACATACAACAATCAAGATACATCAAATAAAATACCAAATTTTCAAAACAGAAAGAAAAATGACGAGCACCAGTTTACAAAACATTAGAGACAACGAAGAAAATTGGTATTTATATGTTTATGTTGGATATTGTCATCAAATTTGACGTCCTCTGTATGACCTGACGTGACTACGTACTTGTACATCACAAACAGTCAAACGAACGTCCCACTTGTGCAAGGGTTTTACTGCCGGTCGACAGAAATCCAAAAGTTCCCATATTTCTATTCTTCAGTCACACACTAAGGAACCAATGACCATTAATGTATATTGTAAACATACCATGTGATTGAAAAAAGGATTTAAACATTTGTGTGTTCATGCCTGTACGTATCTTTCCGTTTTTGTCATTTGTACAATTAGGTGTCCGTAAACTAGTCGTCTATAAACTGTAATTTTCAGTCTTTCTGTCTGTTTTTCTATATTCCTTTCTGTCTAAATATCAGTTTGCTTAAACCATTTCTAAAGAAGAGTCGCCTCAACCGATTTTTTTTAATAATGTTTATACCTAGAAGTCCATTCTGCTTCATGTGAAATTTGGAGAAAAAAAAGATGTTATGAAAAAACTTAGTATTTCTTAAACAAATAAAAAAATGTCATTGCAACATTTACAGTATTATTTTTGTCAAACCAGATGGGGATTCCGACAATACTTGTCTTTAGGTGAAGTTCGAGTTCAAAATATTGGAGGAGATAGTTCCTTAATCTAAAACGATACCAACATTTTTCCAACAACACGTTAAAAAATATATTTTAGAACTACTGCTTACTGGGCTGCTAATTACCTCAGAAACTAGCAGTACATAAACAGATATCTTTGCATAGAGTCCCTTCACCATGTTCATTGTAACAAGAAACTTTCAAAATAAACTAAAACTTTTAAACTTTTTCACATAATGCAGAACAATCCAATATGTTCTGGTAGATGAATATAACAAGACATTCCCATATATGCGATAAAACAATGTCAACGTTGCTCATACGATGATGTATACATTCCGAATCTTTAAGTATATACTAGTATCATAATGTATTAATACTAGAGGTCACTGTTAACCTTTCAGGTCGACACAACTGACAACAAACAAATCATTTAAATGCGTTACCTTTGTCATCAAGTTAAGGACTATTAAAATGAAACGTAAGGTCGTCCTGTATCAGATTTAAGTTCATAATATTAATATGTTTAAAGTTAAGATAATTAAAGATCAGCCAAACATTTACAAAAGTCGATTTTATACAAACACCATCAGTTTTATTTTCTCTTCCTGTCAAATATTTGTCTTCATAAATGAAAATGTGGTACTATGCATGATTTTCTTATGTTGTAAATAGATTTTTTGGGTGACATGTGACGCCATTTAACAACATTATTTTAGTAAACAATACAATTAAAACCCCTATCAACTAGTTGCTGATAGCTATAAAATGCAACCAGCTGATTATTGATTTGCTATCAAAATCGTATATAGTTCAACATGTTCAAGGAAAATTCAAAGTATTGCCAGACAATGACAAAATTCAGAGAAACATGAAAAAAGTAAACAAAAAAGAGGAAATCGAACGTTATATTTCTTTCGCAAATAATAAATTTTAATCGCCACAACTTTTTTTTTCGCAACATGCAAAAAAGGCGACCGCCAGCGGAAACCCTATCATTGTATAACTTTGCTGAACACATCTGTAAATGATAGCAACATTATTCATTTTGACTTAGTTTCGGTGAATCAAATTCAATAAAATAAGGGAATTTTACGTGGAATATCAGTAACGATACACATTTCTCTTTTCTTTACAACAATTAAGGCTAAATGAAATACAACATACCATTCGAAGACAGTATATCTATCATCTTTTTTTTACTGGTTAATCGATTGCATTACACCAGGAATGTTTTGATATGATATATTATAACACAAATTTCATCAGTTCATATAATTTAAGATTATAATATAACCACAACCTTTTAGCCGTTATTTTACAATGGTCAAATAGCGTTATTGAATTATTAGAATTTAAACTTTTAAATATCATAATGGAGTGACTTGTACGAATTCAGGACTCAAATACTACTTATACAGTTTTCATTCTAAATACCTGTAGATCACATGTTGCTTAACACAATGTTAAGTGTTATTATATTGTCAACATGTTCAAGTTTTGTGTTTTGCAAATTGTTATTACTTTCCGTCCTACACGTTAACCCGTCATAACCCCTTTCTTTTCAAACTGAAGTCAGATGCGAGATTCATAGAAAAAAAGGGAAAGAAAACTGAAAGAAATCAAAAAAGCTCTTGTACAAGTTTTTGATTTTTAAAATTCTAATTATTTAAATGTCGATCGCATAACCTAGCTAATAATATTATTACCGAGATGTACACGTAGGTTTATTTTTCATCAATAATATTCGAAATCATATTCAAATTGAGGTACACATATAAAGTATGTCAACACAAAATCTGTGTGCAGCGATATCTGACATGTTGCAACTTTAAACAAATGATTAAGCGTTATCATTTGTGCTGATTTGAAGAGCAGAGGGCCACAAAATAAAGGTGTACAAATATGAATTAGTTAACTGTACATGTATTCGAAGAACGTTTTGTGTGAAAATACCGTCACTAATGAGCAAACCTTATGCCTTAAAGTAATCTATAAAAAACCAGGAACTGTTAAATTGCAAACTTGAAATTCAACGTCATGTATCATGCTGAAACAATAAACGAAAAAAAAAAAATAGAACAAACAAGAACAAACGACAACACTTGGATTATCTCTCACAAATAAAACAAAACACTAATTTTGGATGTTCGCTCCCCTGTTTTAGATAACAAGTTTTTCAAAAGACTGTTTTAAATTGAAAATATATGAATAACAAAACTAAAAAAGTAAGATAAACATAAACAAATTCGTGTCCTTGTTTTTGAGATATAATCAATTGAAAATTTGACGAGAAATAATTCCCTCTAGCTTTCCATGCATTAAACATGTAAAATATTGACATCTTTCTTCTTTCAAAAACTATGAAAAAACAACAAAGATTTCATAAAATTTTCAAAATTGGCGTTTTGATCTACACTGTATATTTAATAAAACTATAAAAAGAAAAGTAAAGGTGTACGGGCAAAATTTGTATTGCCACTACAAAAATAAAACTAGAGGATTGCGAATATATGACAAACAGTCAAAACAAAAGTAGCAAACATCCTTAATCATGTAAACCTAACTGTCAAATGCTAGGGGATATACCAAAAAGCACGAGTTCTCATTATACTACATCCACATACAGGACGACATAAACACATGAAAATATATTTTAAAGGTAACTAAAATATATCAAAACTAGACATTGTGATGTTAAAAAAGCAACTAAAAATAGTATTATAAAATCACTTCGAATCTAAATGTACACTCACACGTTTCAACAAACAAGAATATCTAAATGAAGTGTTCACTCTTATTTACTCAGGTAATTATATATCACCTATAATTATCACCGTTATACTATAACATTAAGTTAATAGGAACAAAAAAGAGTTAAAATACACCTAAGAACTTGTAGCAAACATGTGTACATTGCAAAAAAAAAAAGGAGTAATTAATATTGCTGTCATTCAATTGAACGGATGACTGCATTTTGATTCACAAAAGACCTTTAGAATACAAAGTAAGCTGTAAATATTCAGCACAACATTGAATGATTTGAACGACTAGACTATTTTATCAGTACTGGTAAGAAAATTATATCATTTACATTTATGTATTTTGTAACAGTATAAACTAAAGAAACACAACTAACTATGTAATATCTTGACTTTCGGCCTCTTTTATTTATCAATTTTTATCAATACAAAATAATGATATAAAGAAACGGAAAAAGTAAAAAAAAGTCATACTTTTCGAATATGTAAGTGCTTAAAACGGCACTTCCAACATAAATCAAACTGTCACAAATCGAAATTTGTTCACGATTGTGTGAAAAAGAGGCGATGCCTCTGCAGCTAGATTTTTCAACAACACTGCAAGTGGATATCCAAAAGTATTCCCTTACAATGCCAGAAGATGACAACCTCGAATATCTTCAAATGATACTGTTTGGTCATTAGTGAACCGACGAGCTATTTATTTCTCCTTTTCCTACGACATCACGTGAAAAATCCAAAAAGTAATATATCGTGTATTGTGGTTTAAACTGAGATTCGATATTCAATATGCAGGAATAATATGACGTGAATTTTTGATACAAAAAAAGAGCATTTATATCGTTTCCGCAGACATAAGAAATTAAAAGGTTTGATAAACCAACATTGAGAA